GAGCATGGACATAGGAACTGGGAGGTCAGGGTTCGATTCCCGGTCAGGCACAGGCCCGGGGTGCGGGCTCCATCCCCATTTTGGGGCGTGCAGGCGGCAGCCGGTCCATGATTCTCTCTCCTCATGGATGTGTTTCTCTCCCTCTCCCTTCCTCCCTGACACCATTAAAATCATATTTAAAAACTAAAAGGTGCTGGCCAGGGCATGGAGTAGACTCTAGGGCAGTGGTCAGCAAACTCCTTGGTCCACAGAGCCAGATACCAACAGCACGGCTGACATTTCTTCAGAGTGCCACATTCTAAAAACGTAAACGTCTCCTAACGCCACTTCTCCAACACTGACTCGCCTAGGCCGTGGTGTTTTGTGGAAGAGCCACACGCAAGGGCCAAAGAGCCGCATGTGGCCCGCGAGCCGTGGTTTGCCGGCCACGGCTCTAGGCCCACAGCTCAGGTCTCATTGAACCAGGGACCTGATCTGACCCCCAGGGGAGGAGGGGCAGGCACTAAGGCCTTAGCCCTCAGGCCCAGGTCCGTGGGGGGGGCTCCCGGTCCCCGTGGGGGTCCCTGACCGGCCTCCGCCCTCAGGAACCTCAGCTCGGCCTCCCAGGCCACTCGCCAGAAGATGCGGGAGTGCCACGGGCTGGTGGACGCCCTGGTCACCTACATCAACCAGGCCCTGGACGTGGGCAAGTGCGAGGACAAGGTGAGGCGGCCGGCGGGGAGGTGGCCGAGGCGGGCGGGGCAGCCGGGCGGGGTGGCCGGCCCTGCTGACCGCAGCCTCCCGCAGAGCGTGGAGAACGCGGTGTGTGTGCTCCGGAACCTGTCCTACCGCCTGTACGACGAGATGCCGCCGTCCGCCCTGCAGCGCCTGGAGGGCCGCGGCCGCAGGGACGTGGCCGGGGCGCCGCCCGGGGAGGTGGTGGGCTGCTTCACGCCGCAGAGCCGGCGGCTGCGGGAGGTGGGTCCGGCGGGAGCGGCGGGGGGGGCGGTCAGGGAGGGACAGGGGGTCAGGGAGGGACAGGGGGGACAGGAGGGACAGGGGGGTCACGGAGGGACAGGGAGGGACAGGGGGGACGGGGGGACGGGGGCCTGGCTGACCCTGGTTGACCCCTGGCCCCGCCCAGATGCCCATCGCCGCCGATGCGCTCACCTTCGCCGAGGTGTCCAAGGACCCCAAGGGCCTCGAGTGGCTGTGGAGCCCCCAGATCGTGGGCCTGTACAACCGCCTGCTGCAGCGCTGCGAGCTCAACCGGCACACGACCGAGGCGGCGGCCGGCGCCCTGCAGAACATCACGGCCGGCGACCGCAGGGTGAGCCGCGCGGGCGGCCCCCGGGCCCCGGGCCCCCCCGGACCCCCGTGCCCCTGACCCCCTGCCCCCCGGCTCCCCCTGACCCCCCGGCCCCCCGAACCCCTGGGCGCCCCCCTGGCCCCCTCCTGGGCCCCTCCTGGCCACACGCAGGGGACCCGGGGGTCAGGGGGCAGAGGGCGTGAGGGCCTGCTCCCGGTGGACAGTCTGCTGGGAGAGGGACTGACGGGGGAAGGGCCAGAACGACCCAGGGGCCTCGGGGCTGGGAGAAGGGATAAGGCAGAGGGGCGTCTGGGGTGCCGCGCGGGGTCTGGGGGAGGTGCCCAGCAGGTCTGAGTCCCGGGGGGCGCCTGGCAGTCCTGCCTCAGTTTCCCCAGGGGCGGCGCTGGCGCCTCGCCCCGCGCCCACCAGCCCCTCCCGCCGGCAGTGGGCGGGCGTGCTCAGCCGCCTGGCCCTGGAGCAGGAGCGCATCCTGAACCCGCTGCTGGACCGCGTGCGCACGGCCGACCACCACCAGCTGCGCTCGCTGACCGGCCTCATCCGCAACCTGTCCCGCAACGCGCGCAACAAGGACGAGATGTGTGAGTCCACCCGCGGCCCCGCCCCCAGAGGCCCCGCCCCGCGGCCCCGCCCCCGCGCTCCGCCCCGCGGCCCCGCCCCGCGGCCCCGCCCCGCGGCTCCGCCCCCAGCGGGCTCCGCCCCCTCCCATCGGGCTCTGCCCCCCAGCGGGCTCCCCCCCCAGCGGGCTCTGCCCCCCCCAGCGGGCTCCGCCCCCAGCGGGCTCCGCCCCCTCAGCGGGCTCTGTCCCCCCCCAGCGGGCTCTGCCCCCCCCAGCGGGCTCCGCCCCCAGCGGGCTCCGCCCCCTCAGCGGGCTCTGTCCCCCCCCAGCGGGCTCTGTCCCCCTCCAGCGGGCTCCCCCCCCAGCGGCTCCGTCCCCCCAGCGGGCTCTGTCCCCCCAGCGGGCTCTGTCCCCCCGCAGCGGGCTCCCCCCCAGCGGGCTCCGTCCCCAGCGGGCTCCGCCTGGCCTGGCTGGCTGCTGCTGGCCGCGGGGCTGGGGGAGGGCTGACACTGACCGGCCTCGTTCCCCGCAGCCACCAAGGTGGTGAGCCACCTGATCGAGAAGCTGCCGGGCAGCGTGGGCGAGAAGTGCCCGCCGGCCGACGTGCTGGTGAACATCATCGCGGTGCTCAACAACCTGGTGGTGGCCAGCCCCGTGGCCGCCCGCGACCTGCTCTACTTCGACGGGCTCCGCAAGCTGGTCTTCATCAAGAAGAAGCGCGACGGGTGGGCGGCCCTCCCCAGCCCCGGCCCGGTCCCCTCCCCGGCCACGGCCCCCACCACTGCCCCCTCCCCAGTCCCTGCCCCGGCCCGGCCCCAGCCCCAGCCCCGGCCCCCAGTCCCTGCCCCAGTCCGGCCCCGGCCCCCTCCCCAGCCCCCACCACTGCCTCCTCCCCGCCCTGGCCCGGCCCCAGCCCCAGCCCCGGCCCCCAGCCCAGCCCCAGCCCCCACCACTGCCTCCTCCCTGCCCCGGCCCGGCCCCAGTCCCGGCCCCCACCACTGCCCCCTCCCCAGTCCCTGCCCCGGCCCGGCCCCAGCCCCAGCCCCGGCCCCCAGTCCCTGCCCCGGTCCGGCCCCGGCCCCCTCCCCAGCCCCCACCACTGCCTCCTCCCCAGCCCCGGTCCCCAGCCCAGCCCCAGCCCCCAGCCCAGCCCCAGCCCCCTCCCCAGCCCCAGCCCCAGCCCCAGCCACGGCCCCCTCCCCAGTCCCTGCCCTGGCCCGGCCCAGCCTGGCCCCCTCCCGGGCCCGGCCCCCGCCCCGCTCCCCGCCTTCTGGCTGAGTCCGGCTGAGTCCGTGGCTCTGACGCCCCCCTCTTCCCAGCCCCGACAGCGAGAAGTCCTCCCGGGCCGCCTCCAGCCTCCTGGCCAACCTGTGGCAGTACAGCAAGCTCCACCGGGACTTCCGGGCGGTAGGTTCTGGCACGGCCAGGCAGGCCCCGGAGGGCTGGGGGGTTAGAGGCCAGGGGAACAGGGACCGCCCCAGCCCCGGGGGCGGGCGGGCGGGTGCAGGCCGGTGGCACCCTCACCCGCACCCGCCTGATTGCAGAAGGGCTATCGGAAGGAGGACTTCCTGGGCCCCTAGCCGAGGCCGTCCCGGAGGAGGAGGACTCGACATGCCCAGCCCCCGAGGCCGGGCCCAGCCCCCGCCGCCGCCGCCGCCGCCGAGGGCCGCCTGGAGGAGGAGGCCGGTGGCCGGGGCGCTTGCCCAGCCCCGTGCAGCTGGGAAGGGCCGGGCCACCGGGGGGACGGGACGGGGGCTTGCAGTGGGGACGTGGCTTCTGCGGGGCAGGGAGTGGGCAGGGCTTGAGGCTGCTCTGGTGCAGGGGGTGGGGACTGGTCAGGCTGGCGGAGGCGGGCTGTGCGTGGCCCGCAGTGCCGCCCGCGCTGAGAATAAAGGTGGTCGTGAAGACAGCAGCCGCCCCTCATGCTTTTTCCTTTTTAAAATGTGTTTTTATTGGTTTCAGAGAGGAGGGGAGGGAGAGGGAGAGGGAGAGGGAGAGGGAGAGGGAGAGGGAGAGGGAGAGGGAGAGGGACCTCAGGAGGACAGAGAATCATGGACCCGCTGCTCCTGCTCGCCCCCCCACAGGGGATGGAGCCTGCAACCTGAGCATGCGCCCCGGCCAGGAACCGAACCGTGACCTCCTGGTTCACAGGTCAAAGTTCAACCTCGGAGCCAGGCCTGCCTGGGCTCACCGGGCCTCGCCACGCCAGGGGAGAGTTGGCCGGGAGCGGAGGAGGTGGGGGAGGCAGCTGAGGCCTCGGTGCCACTGGAGACGCAGGGACCATTCCTGTGGCAAAGGCACTCTGCCCTGCCCTCCTGGGCCTGGGGCACCTGGCCAGGGGCTCTGGAGCTTGGGAGCCTCCCCCTCACCGAGCCAGGCCCCTGGTTATGCAGCTCCACTGAAATCCCCAACAAAGGCTCCTTCCCAAGCTCAGCACCGAGTCTCCGAGGGGCTGGCTCCTCGGGATCCGTCTGGACCAGGGGGACTGGGGACTCCACGCTGCCCCTCGCAGGGGAGGGGGCTCCAGCACGATGTGCCTGAGCTGGCACGGGATGGGGAGGGGGACGGTGAGCAGATGGAGGGGGAGGGTTGGCAGATGGAGGGAGAGGGTGGGCAGATGGAGGGGGAGGGTTGGCAGGTGGAGGGAGACGGTGCGCAGATGGAGGGGGAGGGTGGGCAGGTGGAGGGGGAGGGTTGGCAGGTGGAGGGGGACGGTTGGCAAATGGAGGGGGGACGGTGGGCAGATGGAGGGAGAGGGTGGGCAGATGGAGGGGGAGGGGGGCTGGTGGAGGGGGAGGGTTGGCAGGTGGAGGGGGACGGTGGGCAGATAAAGGGGGAGGGCAGGTAGAGGGGGAAGGAGGGCAGATGGAGGGGGAGGGTGGGAGTGGACAGCCCGATTTGGTGACTGAGGCCACAGGGATTAAAAAAAGGGGGGTCAGGGGCCCTGGGGAGCCCGAGGTGGAAGTGAGGGGTGCCCAGCCAGGACAGTCCACCCCCTTCCTGCCCAGAGAGGACAGGACGCGGCAGAGGCAGGGTCCGAAGGACTTTATTTTCTGGCAGGAGGAGGCCCGGGCCCCCGCCCCGGGGTCCCAGGCCGTGAGCAGCGGCTCCAGGCCGGACTCCGGGGTGAGGGGGCTACATGTCCTCCTCGGACACCAGGCAGTAGAAGTCTGTGCGGGCGCCGTAGTTCCGGGAGCCGAGGTCCGAGACGTCCACCTCGCTGCCCCGGCCCTCTCCCAGCGAGGCCCGGCTGGGGTGCGGCGGCGCCGACGGCTCCCCAAAGACCGGCCCGCGGACACCTGGGGGGACACCGGCCTGAAGCCCCTCGCTCCCCGTCCCCCCCAGCAGTGACCTCGGAGGTCTCAGGCCCTCGCGCCTCCGAGAGAGAAGCCGGGCGATGAGGGGTCCTGGGGGCCCAGCTCCCGCAGACGGCGGGGGGAGTCCCCCCACCTGGGCCCCCTCCGGCTTCCTCAGCCCTGGTTCCCGGGGTCCGGGCAGGCTGTTGCACATACCCAGGTCCCCCTCGGGGTCGGGGTCCAGCTCGGGGTCCAGGGTCTGGCCCTCGGGGACGTGGCCCCGCACGATGAGCATGGGGTCCTTGTCATCCTGCAGCCGCGTCTGGGGGTCCCCCTCCATCGCCCGGTACTGCACCTTCCGCGGCAGCGCCAGCTGCAGCTCCTTCCAAAAGTCCGAGGACGGCGTCTGGGGGCCGAGGCGGGGCTCAGCGGGGGGAATGCAGGGGGTGCGGACACTGGGACCCCCGCCCTCAGAGCCCCCCGCACCACGGAGCCGGGCCGCCAGCGCAGCAGGGTCACCAGGTGGCGGTGCTGGTGCAGCAGGTGCAGCGCGGGGTGCGCGGGGTCGCGCCGCGGGCCATCGAAGGTGATGAAGATGGGCCTGCGCGTGAGCTCCAGCAGCCGGCACAGGCCCTCCCTGCGGGGCGGATGGGGGCGTCAGCAGGCCGCACCGAGCCACACCCCCCCCCCCCAGCGCGGGACCCACCGGAAGCTGTGGCTGCACCAGGGCCGCCCCAGGAAGGCGTCTGACAGCACCACGATGAGGCGCCTGCAGCGGCTCAGGTTCACCAGGAGGTCGGCCGAGGGCTCTGCGAACCGGAACCGGGGATGGGCTGGGACCCAGGCGGGCAGGGCGGGGCCGCGGCGAGCCGGGGAGATGGGCGGGGCCCTGACGGGGGCGGGGCCCGGAGTCTGGGAGGGGCGGGGCCCAGGTTAAGGCAGCTGTGGAGGGGCGGGCCTTGGAGGGGCGGGGCCAGGAGTCTGGGAGGGGCGGGGCCTGGGTTAAGAAGGGGCGGGGGCGGGGCCTGGCGGGGGCTGGGCTGGGCGGGCAGCGAAGGGCGGGGCGGGGCCTGGCGGGGGCTGGGCTGGGCGGGCAGCGAAGGGCGGGGCGGGGCCTGGCGGGGGCGGGGCGGGCGGGCTGGGCGGGGCCTGGGTTAAGAAGGGGCGGGGGCGGGGCCTGGCGGGCGGCGAGGGGGGGAGGGCGGGGCCTGGGTTAAGAAGGGGCGGGGGCGGGGCCTGGCGGGGGCTGGGCTGGGCGGGCAGCGAAGGGAGGGCGGGGCCTGGGTTAAGAAGGGCCGGGGCGGGGCGGGGCCTGGCGGGGGCGGGGCGGGCGGCGGAGGGGGGCGGGGCCTGGGTTAAGAAGGGGCGGGGCGGGGAGGGGCCTGGCGGGGGCGGGGCGGGGTGGGCGGTGCAGGGGGGCGGGTCCGGAGCCCGCACCTGCCCGCGGCAGGAGGTCGCGGTCGTCCAGGAAGAGCTTGTAGCCCCGGCAGCGCTCCAGCTGCGGCTTCAGGATGAAGTTCACAAACTTGCGGTCGTCGGGGCTGTCGCTATAGGAGACGTAGGCGTCGTACAGCTTCCCGTCTGCGGGCGGCAGGGGTCAGCTGGCCGCTCCCCGGCCCGGTGTCCCGGGTCCCCTCCCGGAACCACCCCGCTGGCCCGCCGCCCACGCACCATGGCCACGCACCGTTCACCTCCACCTCCCCGTAGGCGTTCTGGTACCAGAGCTGCACGTCCAGGCGGCACTTCAGGTAGAGCAGGGCGGCCAGCAGCAGGGCCAGCAGGACCAGCAGGGCGGCCAGCACGGCGGCCAAGTGGCCTGCGGGGGCTGGGACAGAGCTGCACCTGAGCCCTGCCCCACTGCACCACCAGCCTCTAGCTCCCTGCCCCCCCTGAACCCTGGGACCCCTCACTGCACCCCCAGCTTCTAGCTCCCTGACCCCCCTTGTTCCCCCTGAACCCCGGGACCCCTCACCAGCCCTCCAGAGAGTGAAGGAAGCGGAGCTGACGTTCTGGATGCAGCAGGTGAAGGCTCCGTAGTCCTCAGCACTGGTCAGGTTGACCCCCAGGACACTGGACACAAGCACCTCTGACCGGTTGGCCTGGACCCTGAGGAGACCAGGCCCCAACCTCTCACCGGGGCCCGAGAGCATCGGGGACCCGAGCCCCACCCGGCGGGATGCTGAGAGCCTGTGGTGTGGCCTCCTGGGCAGCCGTTGGCCGTGGGCTGAGAGAGGCGGCAGGACCGGAGGGGATACGGGTCTGTCACCCTAATCCTGGGCCTGGGTCCGGGGTGCTCTGATCCCAGGCGTGGCCCAGTGGCCAGTGCCCCTCAGGCCTCAGCACTCTGCCGGCACCATGGTCCCAGCGGTGTGCAGAGTGCCCACCGGGCCGCCTGCCCCTCGGGTCATCGGCCTCCATCTGTGTCCAGGGGCGCCGAGCCCGTGTCACACCTGGGCGGTCATGCCCAGCCACGTCCGGCCGGACAGGCCAGGGTGTGGGTCAGAGGCCACGGGCATCGGTGCCCAGACGGCTCTTACCAGGAGTCCTCACGGAGCTCATAGTGGCTGCCATTGCCCAGCGGCAGCCCGTCCTTCAGCCACTGGACCAGGAGCAGCGGGCAGAGGGGCGCGGGGACCACCCAGGCCGTGCAGTTCAGAGTGACCGCGCTGCCCAGCGCAGGCGCCAGGGCCTGGCTTCCGGGAGGGGAGAGGAAGTTGGGGGGCCTGTCGCAGGCGCCTACGGAGAGAGGACAGGGGGGTTAGCCGCACTCAGGCCCCCAGACCCCCCCTCCCTCCCGTCCACAGGGGTCTGAGGGCCGGAGCCACTCAGTGGTCACACCGTGTCCGTCCGCGAGTCCCATGGACAATGGGCCCGGCATCTGACAGCCCGTCCACCCGGGACCTGAGCCCCAGGCGTAGGGCCTCGCCCCCCGCCCCGGGGCGCTGTCGGGCCTGTGGGCACCGTGGTCTGGGGGACGGGCGCTGGGGGTGCCAGCACCTTCCACCTGAGGAGGAACCCAGGGTCCCAGGACCCTCTGCTGACCACAGGAAGCCTGCCCGCTCCGGAGGCCTGAGCTTCTCTTAGCACCAACCGGCCTGAGGGCCCCCTCTCCCCGCCGCCTGACGGTGCGGTGCCCCCTCTCCCCGCCGCCTGACGGCGCGGTGCCCCCTCTCCCCGCCCACGCCCTGGGCCCCAGCAGCGCCCACTCCACAGCCCGGAGGGGGGAGCAGAGCCTGGGCTGGACGGCAGCCTGGCGCCGGGGGTGTGGAGGTGAGAGTGGGGCCCGCGCCCGCCCTCTGACCCCTCTACCTGCCATGGTCCGACCAGGGCCTCCTCGGGCGAGCCGGGCACGGTGCCACCCCTGGCTCCACGGCTCCTCCACTGGGCGGGCCGGACCCCAGGCTGGCGGGCTCGTTGGTCTCCGTGGTGGTCAGAGGCTGCGCACCCCGGGGGGCACGGTGAACACGGACAGGGCGAGTGAACAGGTAACCTGGTACCGAGCACCGGCTGCCTCTGGGGCGGCGCGGGCACCGGGCACCAGGACGGAGCCGCTCTGAGCCCCTTCCCCGTCCTCGACTCACCTTCCCCTCCCCCGGCCACCGTGACGGCCCAGGGTGGAGCAGTGGGCATCCCTCTGGCACCCTCATGAGGCCAGAGGGCCTTCCCTGCACACTCACCCTCACACCCTCTCCACTCGCCTCTGCAAGGGCTCCCTGCACACTCCCCCCCCAGGGTCTGTGTTGCACACCCACCCCCTGCACTAAGCTCCCACCGTGGCCGTGTGCACATGTGGACACTCCCCCCAGCCCTCTGTGGCCCACACAGTGCACATCCTGGACCAGCTCCCGCCAGGGACACAGCCAGGGGCTCCTGTCCGTCCCCCCACACACATGACCTCCTCCCTGGCGCACACGCAGCCTCCTGTGTCCCACACGCACCAGGCTGACCCTCGCCAGGCTGACCCTCGCCAGGCTGACCCTCGCCAGGCTGACCCCTCGCCAGGCTGACCCTCGCCAGGCTGACCCCTCGCCAGGCCTCAGGCCCGGAAGGCCTGGGAGGGGAGGGGAGGGGAGGGGAGGGAAGGCTCCGCAGAGGGCAGGCCGCGGGGGAGGCCGCCCGGTCACCTGGTTCCGGCTCCGTCCTGCAGGCAGCGCTGGTCATGGGTGTCAGTGACCTGGGCTCGGGAGCTGCCTCCGCTCGGCTGGGCCCCGGCCCAGTCCCCCTGCGGCCGGGCACCCATGGCCCAGCAGGGCGAGGCCTGGCTTTGTGTGTGTGCTTCAGGGAAGCTTCCTGGCCCTGCTGTCACATCCTCTCCCGACCCTGACCCCACCCCGCGCCCCCCTCCGGCGGAGGCCCCGCCCGCCCGCCGGGCCCTTCCTGTGGCTCTGAGTCAGGGCGCCTTCCTCCGGGCCGCCCGCCGCAGGGCACGGCACCGCTTCCCACACCAGGCCTGGGGCGGAGGGGGCGGCCGGGCTCCGGGCAGCCTGAGGGGCGCACACAGGAGGGCCCGGGGGCGGGGCGGCCGCTTCCTGCAGACCCACACCCCACGCCAGGGAGCGGGCGTCCCGCGTCTGACCTCTGACCTGCTGGTGGGGGAGGGGGCCCTCCCGGTATAGCCCCAACTGAGCAGTTACCAGTGGGCGGAGGCATCCTGTGGACCTTGGTTCCTGGCTTGGGGGCGGAGTGTGTGTGTGTGTGTGTGTGTGTGTGTGTGGCGGGAGCAATGCTCCCTTTTACAGGCAAGGAGGTCAACAGGGGTTTAGCAGAGGCCAGGTCGGGGGCAGCCATGGGGGGACAACTGGGGGGGCAGCCAGGTGGGGGGCAGCCATAGGGGGGCAGCCAGGGGGGGACAGCTGGGGGGCAGCCAGGTGGGGGGCAGCCATAGGGGGGCAGCCAGGGGGGGCAGCTATGGGGGGACGGCTGGGGGGGCAGCCAGGTGGGGGGCAGCCAGGTGGGGGGCAGCCAGCAGCTCCAGGCAGACCTGGACTCAGGGCCCAGCAACAGGTGGCTGGCACCCATGTCCGCAGAAGCGGGCCCTGTGCCTACCCTCACCCTGCGGGGCCACCAGCGGAGCTTCTTCAACGCCTTGGGTCCCGGACACCCCTCACCCACCCTGTCCCTGCCCCCAGCCCCGCCTGGCCCTCAGGAACCGGGTGAGGTCCCACAGAGCCCCGGCCGCCGGGGGGACCAGCTGTCCCCGCCTCTCCGGTGCCAGTGGCCGAGGCTGGTACATGTGCCGCCCTAGCCAGCCACCGCCCAGAGCACCCGCGGTGCCCCGTCCCCGGGGTTCAGCGCCCGGCCGGGCTGTCCCCCTCTGTGTGCTCCTCGGGCCACCAGCGCCCTCCACCGACGCCCTCTGCATCCTCCCGCCCAGGCCCCCTCCCACGTGGCCTCAGGCCCCACCGACACCCTCCCCGCCCAGCGCCCCCCCCACCTGGGGCTCCGCAGCCGGCTCCCCTCCAGGCCGCCCGCCGGCTCCGCCTCAGCACCGGCCGGCTCCCTCCCCCGGGCGGCTCCCTCGGGGCGGCCCTGCGCCCGGCGTCTGCGGCAGCCGAGGACGTGCAGGGAGGCTGAGGCCCGGCCGCCGGCTCCGTGCGGCTCTCCCGAGCGGCCGTCCTCCGGCCCCGCAGCCCCACCCGCCTCCCCTCCCGGTGGACTTGGCCCGGCTGTGGGCGGGCGGGCTCCTCCGGCACCGGTGCCCCCGCCCCCGGCTCGGGGCTCAGGCTCAGGCCCCGGTCCGGCGTGCCCCCCCCCCCCCCCGCCCCGCCGAGGCCGGGAAGCCGGTGAGGCCGGGGCGCGGACGGCGGGGAGCGGGAGGCCCCGGAGACCAAGCAGCCCGGCCCGGGCTTCCGGCCGCGGGCCCGCCCGGCTCCAAGCGCTTCCTGCGGGGCCCGCAGCCCCAGGCCCCGGCAGGTGCCCCGGCCCCCGGCACCGGCACCGGCCCGGCCTCTGGGCGGCCTCCACTCACCGGATCCGGCGACGCGCTCACCTGCAGCCGGGCCGGGCCGGGCGGGCGGGGCGGGCGGTCACCTGGTCAGGTGCCGCCCGGTGGCAGCAGGTGCGGCCCCGCCTCGCCGGGCGCCCCGGCGCTCCCTCCCGCCCCGGCTGTCACTCAGCGCGCGGCCGGGGGTGGAGCGAGGGCCGCAGTCTGTGGTTCTGCCCCTCCTCCTCCTCCAGGAAGCCCGCCGGACTCCAGCCCAGTCCCAGGTGTGAGGGGGGGCCGGGCAGGGCCTTTCCCCCGGAGGAAGCTGGGAACCGGGGAGGAGGGCGGAGGGGCCCCGAGCGCAGACACAGGCACGGAGCCCACACGTTGGCACGAGAGGTTTTATTTTATTACAAAAAGTTCCGCTGGCTGAGGGGGCCAGAGAGCTGGGGCCAGGGCCTCGGACTGCCTGGGGGAGGCGGAGGGGGCAGAAGCCGGAGGGGCCAGCGCGCTGGGACCGCATAAAAGCGCCCCTCCGGGGGGGCAGGGCTCCCCCCGAGTTCAAGCCTGAGCCCCAACAGATGGAGCAGCCAAGGGGGCTGCCCACTGATGCCCTAGTGCCCCCGGACCCCTCAGTACACAGCCCCCCGGACCCCTCAGTACACAGCCCCCCGGACCCCTCCATGCACATACAGGGGCTGCCCCCCCAGGACCCCTCCATACACAGCCCCCCCCAGGACCCCTCACATACAGGGGCTGCCCCCCAGGACCCCTCCATACACAGCCCCCCGGACCCCTCACATACAGGGGCTGCCCCCCAGGCCCCCTCACATGCACCCACATACAGGGGCTGCCCCCCAGGCCCCCTCACATGCATGTGAGCCTTCTCACACCCGTCCACACACACACGCACACACACACGCGGCCGTGGGCAGGGAGACAGCGGAGGCGGCGGTGGCGGCGGCCTGGCCCTCACACGTCCGTGCTCTTGAGGCTGGAGCTGGAGGGGGCGGTGGCCGCCCACCGGGGGCCCCCGCTCCACATCCGGTCCCGGAGCTCGTCATACTTGTCCTCCAGCACCTTGTTCTCCACCGACTGCGGCACGTCCGGCACGAACCAGGCGGCCACAAGCTTGATGCACAGCGCCACGTGCTGGGGGGGGAGTGAGCGCCACGTGCTGGGGGGAGTGAGCGCCACGTGCTGGGGGGAGTGAGGGCCACGTGCTGGGGGGGAGTGAGCGCCACGTGCTGGGGGGAGTGAGGGCCACGTGCTGGGGGGAGTGAGCGCCACGTGCTGGGGGAGTGAGGGCCACGTGCTGGGGGGGAGTGAGGGCCACGTGCTGGGGGGGAGTGAGGGCCACGTGCTGGGGGGGGAGTGAGCGCCACGTGCTGGGGGGGAGTGAGGGCCACGTGCTGGGGGGGAGTGAGCGCCACGTGCTGGGGGGAGTGAGGGCCACGTGCTGGGGGGAGTGAGGGCCACGTGCTGGGGGGGAGTGAGCGCCACGTGCTGGGGGGAGTGAGCGCCACGTGCTGGGGGGGAGTGAGGGCCACATGCTGGGGGGGAGTGAGCGCCACGTGCTGGGGGGAGTGAGGGCCACGTGCTGGGGGGAGTGAGCGCCACGTGCTGGGGGGGAGTGAGGGCCACGTGCTGGGGGGGGAGTGAGCGCCACGTGCTGGGGGGAGTGAGCGCCACGTGCTGGGGGGAGTGAGGGCCACGTGCTGGGGGGGAGTGAGCGCCACGTGCTGGGGGGAGTGAGGGCCACGTGCTGGGGGGGGAGTGAGGGCCACGTGCTGGGGGGAGTGAGGGCCACGTGCTGGGGGGGGGAGTGAGCGCCACGTGCCGGGGGGGAGTGAGGGCCACGTGCTGTGGGGGAGTGAGGGCCACGTGCTGGGGGGGGAGTGAGCGCCACGTGCTGGGGGGAGTGAGGGCCACGTGCTGGGGGGAGTGAGGGCCACGTGCTGGGGGGGGAGTGAGGGCCACGTGCTGGGGGGGGGGAGTGAGGGCCACGTGCTGGGGGGGGGAGTGAGCGCCACGTGCTGGGGGGAGTGAGCGCCACGTGCTGGGGGGGGAGTGAGGGCCACGTGCTGGGGGGGAGTGAGGGCCACGTGCTGGGGGGGGAGTGAGCGCCACGTGCTGGGGGGAGTGAGCGCCACGTGCTGGGGGGGAGTGAGGGCCACGTGCTGGGGGGGGAGTGAGGGCCACATGCTGGGGGGAGTGAGGGCCACGTGGGGGGGCGGAGTGAGGGCCACGTGCTGGGGGCGGAGTGAGGGCCACGTGCTGGGGGGGGAGGAGTGAGGGCCACGTGCTGGGGGGGGCGGAGTGAGGGCCAAGCCGGGGGGGCGGGGGGGGTTGGGGGAGGGGGACCCGCCCGGCCCACCTCGAACAGAATCAGGAAGGCCAGGCGGACGGCCAGCAGGATCCAGAACTGCTCCGAGAAGTTGTAGTCCTGAGCGTTGCGGTAGTCCCGGTACCTGGGACGGGCAGGGCCTGAGGTCAGGGGTCAGGAGTTCAGAGGGCACCATGGGGGTCGCGGGGGAGGGGGTCCAAACCTGCATTCGGTGATGCTGATGTTCTCGGGGCCCTTTATCCGGCCCGGGTCCCGGAAGTGCTGGGTGTGGAACACGGACAGGCTGTGGTTGATGTAGCCGGTGAGGCAGCTGCGGGGGAGGCGGGCTGGCTGCGGCCGTGGGTGCGTCAGGGGCCGCTCCTCCCGCTGGTCACCAGAGGGGGCCCCGGCAGACCCTCCTCACTCCTCCGCCTGGGAGAGGCCCGGGGAGGCTGAGGGGCCCCGGTGCCACGCCCTCCTCCCTGCTGGAGGCTGGGGAGCCTCTGGTGGCGCTCTTACTTTTATTTTTCTTAACATGTTTTGTTAATTTTTTTGCAGAGAGGAAGGGGGAGGGACAGAGTTAGAGAGAAACATCGACCAGCTGCCTCCTGCACACCCCCACTGGGGATGTGCCCGCAACCAAGGCACATGCTCTTGACCGGAATCGAACCCAGGACCCTTCAGTCCGCAGGCCAACGCTCCAGCCACTGAGCCAAACCGGTTTCGGCTTGGGTGGGACGCTTGTGCTGGACAGGCCAGCAAGGGTCTGACTTTGGGGGGGCAGGTGCCAGTGCCTGCTCAGCAAACAGCTGGCTCTGGGGCCTGAATCCCCCACTGGGGTCCCGGTTGGCACCCCGGCTCCGCCCCGTCCGCAGGGCAGGGAGAGGCAGATTTGGCAGCACTGAGCCCCCCCACTCCCCTTGCTGAGCTGTGCCGGGCCGGTTTCCCCAGGGTCTCCGGACCGTGAGCCCCCTCCCGCCCCGGCCCCTTACTCGGCTGTGGAGCGGCTGCCCGGCCGGCAGGGGCCGTAGCGGTACTTGTACACCACCCGGGGGATGAACTCGGACGTGAAGGCGATGACCATCCCGTTGACGATGACCGCCAGCACGCCGATGGTCTCCAGCACCTGCAGCCAGGTCCCTGCGGCGGGCCGGGCATGGGGAGAGGCCGTCTGGGTCCTCCCGCTCCCGTCCACCCCCACGCCGAGCGCGGGAGGGTCTGTCCCATCGCCGGGACGGCCCCCGCACCGCGGCAGCCCGGGCCAGGCCCCGTGGGGAGGCCTTCCCACCGGCTCCCCTGGCCGGACACCCACCACCCCAGGTGGAGCCCTGAGCCCAAGACCAGGCCTCGCTCACCGGGTCCCTCCCTCCGCCCGCTCCCTGCCCCAGTCTCCATCCACCTGCCCCCTTCCCGGCCAGTGCGGCCGCCCGGCCCCGCCCTCCGCCCCTCCACCCGCTCCCCGTGGCCTGAGCCCCACGGAGGCTGCGGCTTCCCCAGGTCCGCAAGGCGGGCGCCAGCCTGCGCTCCCGGGCGGGCGGGCCTGCCGGTGGGGAGGGAGCACCCGCCGCTCACCGATGTCCTTGGCCTTACGAGGCACCAGGCGCCGCCGCAGCCGCACCATCTTGATGGCGTCCAGGCGGATCTCCACGAGGTTGCTGAAGAGCGCCAGCAGCGGGGCCAGCGGGAAGGCGGCCACGAAGATGGTGGTGAAGCCGTACTGGATCACTGCGGGGGGCGGGGGGCGGGGCGGTGAGCTCCGGCCCCCGCCCGGCCCCCCTCCCCCGGCCCCCTCCCCCGGCCCCCCGGCCCCCGGCCCCCTCCCCCGGCCCCCCGGCCCCCGGCCCCCCTCCCCCGGCCCCCGGCCCCCCCCCAGCCCAGCCCCCTGGCCCCCCCCAGTGAAGATGGTGGTGAAGCCGTACTGGATCACTGCGGGGGGGGGGGGCGGGGGGGTGAGCTCCGGCCCCCGCCCGGCCCCCCTCCCCCGGCCCCCTCCCCCGGCCCCCCGGCCCCCGGCCCCCCTCCCCCGGCCCCCGGCCCCCGGCCCGGCCCCCCGGCCCCCCCCAGTGAAGATGGTGGTGAAGCCGTACTGGATCACTGCGGGGGGGGGGGGGGCAGTGAGCTCCGGCCCCCGGCCTGGCCCCCTCCCCCGGCCCCCCTTTCCCGGCCCGGCCCCCGGCCCCCCGGCCCCCTCCCCCGGCCCCGGCCCCGGCCCGGCCCGGCACGCACTCATCTCCATGAACTCGTCGAACAGGCTGAAGGTGTGCACGCGGTTCAGGCGGTGGTTGCGCTGCCAGTCCCTCAGCTCGGGGTCCCGGGCCTCGCTGCCCCGCAGGGAGCGGCACTTGTGGGCCAGCCACCTGCGGGCGGAGCCAGGGGGCAGGGAGCTGGGGGCCCGAGGAGGAGGATGGGGAGGGGTGCCGGAGGGGGGAGGGCCGAGGGGGTCCTCACGGGGTCAGGTACTCTATGCAGTTGCTGAGCGTCTGCTTCAGACCCATGATGATGGCCATCTGCACGAACAGGTCCATCATGCAGCCGCTGAGGTGGCACTGCGGGGAGGGGCGGTCAGCGGAGGGGGCAGGGAAGGGCGGGGGGAGGGGCAGGGGGAGGGGCATGGGGAGGGCGGGGAGGGGCGGTCAGCGGAGGGGGCA